CATTTGTTCAGTCGGAGTCCATCCTGGAATAGATTTTTTTTTTTTTTTGCTGGCTCTACAGCCCCATTGGGACCTGGCCTCTGATTTTCAGTTTCATGATCATTTTACCGACGATAGGACTTCTTGAACGAGTGATCACCTCGTCGCAAAGCCTCTTCCTAAACACAGGACAACACACACACACATACCAAACATTCATGCTTTATGTGGGATTCGAACCCACTATCCCAAGTTCCGATCGAGCGAAGACAGTACATGCATAAGACCGCTAGGCTACCATGACCGACCCCAGAATCCATATAGAACCAGAAAAGTCCAGTATACAGTTTACTCTGATTTGTAATTGTTTTTAAGTCACAACACTCTCAGCTGCCGAACGAAGAATGTTACGTAACGGAAATCAGAAAACGCTCATTTCCACAGATTAAAGAGCCTAAAACCACAGCGGAACGACAAGACGTGCTACATCTGGATCGTGTAACAAAACCTCGCCGTAATTCCTTTGCAGTTCCGCCCCCCATGCCAATTCGACAGCAAGCCCAACAAAGGCACTCACAATTTCACCTAATTTGTTCCTATAGCAACAAGCCACCCCAACTACACACCACACGTAACATTACTTCAGCTTTATGTCCCCTCCAGCCCACGCGCAGTTGGTCCGTTGAAGCAGTAATCCAGTTTTGAGGTCCGCCCCCCAACCCCTTTCCATACAACACGAATCAAATGAGTGTTCACTGGTTGTGATGCGAAAGACGAGGGGTAGGGGGTGGTACGGGGTGAAAGGTACGTTTCTGGTATATGGGATAAGGCAAGATTTTTGTGTCGTGTTCTGTGCTAGGGGTGGCAGTACGTGCAGATCGGAGATTTCTAACCTCACAAAACTGGAGGACCCACAAAATCAATACAGACATTTGAGGAGTCAGTAAGTAACACAGTTACAAACTTAAGTACAGTATATTTATATGATAATCAGTTCCTATGTATCTCATTTAGCAAAAAAAAAAAATTGAGGACTACAACCCGCCGACAAATGCTCCCAGCTGTATTCACCAGTAAGTACTATTTAAAGTACATGACAACAATTTAATGGTGTCAAATATGCGGGTTCGGTGAAATTAGGTGAGGTTAGGTTACATTAATTAAACTTAATTTAATTTGTTTATTCTAAGCCTAGTAAACATTAATAGGAACGAATTTCGCGTGAAATTTCGAATTTGCTGACGTCATTACTGCGTGTATAATGGGACTCATGCAGAGGGTTATCACACTGTAGGATCCGCGAATAATTTCGATTGCGCAGCCATGAAAATTTCATGTTCTGAAGAGCCGAAGGATTGAAATCAAACGCCGCTGTCGCATGGTGCACCGTGCTCTCTGTACGAGGAATAACTATACTGACAGAGATCTTTCGTGATGTTCCTCAGTCCGTCCAGACGAACTAAACAACGACCGTTTTCTTTCACATCCTCTCCTATTGACGCTATTGACTATTATCCAGTCATTCGACACGGCACAGTCTGAGTCGGGAACAGCGTCGTTAAACTACACGCTACATCCTCTCTCCTGGTTCCAGTGGTCAGCGAGCTTAATTATACGAATTTAAAATGCGAGGCATCATCAGAGTCCGTCCGTGCAGGACATGTGGTGTTCGCATTACATACCAGGAACGCAACATTTACTGTAAGCATTCATAATTTATGAATTTAAACTCTACGTAAAATTACATATGGGTTTGAAGAATAGAGGGTGGCTATTAGTTCCGTTTCTCATAGAGATAACGAAATATTCGACGCCATTTTGATGATTTCTGTTACAACACAGAACAAAGATACGTTTCTTGTACAACACGTGGATTCAGCGAGTAAAACATTAATAGTGAAGTTTTATGCCGTGCTACTTTCCCAATTAATCATACTGATTAATGTGATTATAAATGAAGTAACATTTGTTTAGTCACAGGATATTCCGAAATTCCAACTGTTTCTTCCGTCTTCATGTCAGTAGCTGCGATGAGCTCACTAGTTCAACAAACGCAGCGGCGGCTTCTCTGTTTTGCATGGAGGCTGAAAGTAGCGAGATCTACCGTAAACAACAGAAGGAAGCATTTCACTTGACCTCAATTCTTCCTGCGGATTTCACAGGGGACGACAGAAACTGGCGACTGGTTGTTAACAGTCTATAATAAATTGAATTACGTTTCTTGGTTACTGTATGACACTGCATCAACTGCCTTGGTTCAACCCATATAATTTGGACGGAGTACGACTGCGTAGTGAATAAGGACAGACGCGGGTTCACTTGCTATCTTAATTGGTTTAATGGCTTTCTATCAACTGCAGTTTCGAAGGGAAGTGAAAAGCTACACTCACTTATTTTAAGTACGCCTATAGGTACTGAGGGAAAAGCATGAAATATAGTATCCTTAGTATACTCTCTACTGTACGAGCTGTGGAAAGGAGAAAAACCTGGCACTGCAGGGAATCGAACACACACCGCCCAACATGTAATCCGTCACTCTACCGACTGGGCTGAAAAACGTAAAAATTATAACATACAAAACTATATTGTTGCCTGTGGTTCTGTATGCGTGTGAAACTTAGTCTTTGACATTAAGGGGGGAGGGGGGGGGGTTANGGGGAAGGTTAAGGAGAATATTTGGACGTCAGAGGTTTTGAGGTGACAGTGGATGGGAGAAAACTGCGTAATGAGGCGCTTCATACCGTGTACATTTCGCCATGTATAATCAGAATAATCATGTCAAGGAGGATTAGATGGGCAGGGCATGTAGGACGAATGGGGAAGAAGAGGAATTCATATAGGATTTTGGTAGGAAAGCCAGAAGGAAGGAGACCACTGGGAAGACCAAGGCTTAGGTGGGTGGACAATATTAGAATGGATCTTACAGACATAGGATGGGATGGTATGGACTGATCTGGTTCAGGATAGGAACCAGTGGAGGGCTCTTGTAAACACGGTAATGAACCTTCGGGTTCTATAAAATTCTGTAAAATTCTTGAGTAGCTGCAGATTTGGCTTCTCCTCAAGAAGAGATCAGCTCCATAAGTATTTTTTTATTGCTAGTGGGGTGGGACTAAGTCCCTTGTACAGCGGCCACTTCTGGCCTATTGTACCAGCCCCAGACGAAAGGTGAGGGTGATTGTGGAGCAATTGGTGCAATGAAGATTGACAGGGGAAACCGAAGTACTCGGAGAAAACCTGCCCTACCGCCACTTTGTCCACCACAAATCCCACTTGACCAGACTCGGGATCGAACCCGGGCCGCCGCGGTGGGAAGCCAGCGACTAACTGCTTGAGCTATGGCGCGGCCGGCTCCATAAGTAATTATGTTTATGCATTTAAGGCACGTTTTCTCTGACGGCCCCTGCAATGTTAGGCATATTTCTTAACCTACCGGGCGTGAACAAAAGAATATTCAAGCATTTAACCAAAAAAAAAACGGTATCGTCTTGTACACATTTTCTAATTTACGTTCTGCTTCCGTCAAACACGGACACGGAACTCAAATATACGTCTGTAAGCTATACATGGAACGTACTATTTGTGCGCTTTGCTACGTTCATTTTTACGCTCGGAAAGGTACACGAGAAAGGCACAGAGATGTAAACAATAGGTGGAAGTGAAGTTCAGTTGAAATTGTTTCTACACATCACAGCCACCTGCAAATGTTTTGCCATGGCCAAAGTTTGCATTACAACCAAATGACAAATCTAATAATTGCTTGGTCAGAGATGTAAGCTTTGCCCGAATCACGTGGATAACGTACAAATACAAACAGTGACGCTGAACTAGTTTGCTGCGGGAAATAAGGTCCATCCATTCATTCATTCATTCAAGAACAAGCAAAACTCTGGCGACCGTTCCTATTTAGTCACAGCGTAATAAATTCACGTACAGTGCCTTTGTAGAAAAGTTATAGTTGCTCATCTGGTCAAGCAATTTCTTATTTCACGGACCACATAGGTTCATTATAGCAGTCACAAAAGCAAGCCACTGGACCTCAACTTGAGCCAGCTGAGTTTAGTCAACACTCTCACACCGTACTTCAATAATACTGATTTCAACACCGTTCTTCCATCTGCGTCCAGGTCTCCCAAATGGTCCCTTGAGGTTCTCCAACTAAACTCTGTTCGCGTTTCCCATCTCCCTATGCGTGCTACGTGTACATATATCCATATCTCATTTACTTTATAGGATAATCATTGAGATGATAACTCGAGACTAACAAAATGGCACGTTCCATCTACTAAAAGAAAATTGATGTACTCGTATAGTACTACTATTACTACCACCACAGCCGCTACTGCCACCGTGTCTAGCATGCACTCCAAACTTTTGGGGTAACGTTCCCACCTCATGACTCAAGGCACGCGGGTTCAAACCCGGCGGAGGTCGTGGAATTTTTAAGGGCGGAAAAATTCAGGGAACAAGTCCTCCGGGAGGGACTTTAAGCCGTGTGTCCCGTGTCGTAGATTTACGGCACGTAAAAGAACCTCTTGTCTCTAGGAGACCTCTGAGCTAAATTAGGCAAGTTTCCCGCCCAAGTAGTTTCCAGTGCCTCTGGTAGATGGGGGGAGCATCAAGGTACCGAGGGCCGACCTCGTTGGCTCAAACGGGGCTGATAGCACGCACCAGTACCGGTAGGGTGTGGAGACAGGTAGAATATCAAAGGGTGACGTACAATAAATAGACTATCAGTCGCGGTGCATGGGGAAACACCCCCTCCAATAATAATAATAATAATAATAATAATAATACCCATACAAAGATATTCATAAGAAAACGCGACGCTGTAGACGTTACCTTACTGCCTCAAAAACAATATAATTGTCGTTTGATTGGCTCTCACATCCACGTACAAGGCAAAAACTGTGCGGCCGCAGCTTCGGGCTGTACTGGAGCAGTATGGTCGATTCGCACCACTTCATATTGGTGACTGAAGTAAATCTCGGCATCAGCGAACGTTAGTCGCCCTGGAATAGATGGCAGAGGCACCGTGGATGTGATGCTGAAGATAAAACCCCGCAAGCCGATCTCTCGATCACAATTTCCTAGCTCTAACTCTCAAGAGATCTTTGGAGATGTTTCCCAAGGTACGAGAGATCGGTGCCGATGATCTCGATCACGGCTAGGAAAACCTTGATGCCTGGATTCAGTGTCAGAACGTAAAGAAATGTTCCTTAACGTTTCCGTTGAACATTCCAGATAGAGTCCGCAGCCTCTTCCTCTACTCCTGAACTAGACCATCAGAAGTCGCACGGTCAACATAAACATTAACAAAGCATCTTAATGATCTTGCTTTTACCACTATCGGCAATTTTTATTTTCTTTTGTTATACCCTGAAGTTTCAGGTTGTATGGCATTTTCCAACTTTACAAATGTTAGCGGAAAAGGGCCATTGAAAATTCAACTGGAAGTCTCTCATGAACTTGCGTACCTCCGTCTCCTTTCTCATCCCTCGTTTTCCCTGGATAAGGAAGTGTGCCGTCCGATATTAACGCCATCTGTTGGGTAATGAGAGTAACTACATTCTCTGTGAAAGCGCATCAAAGACATGGTCACTCATAAACCGCATCACACACACACACACACACACACACCAATGTATCGTAGTCAAGGCTCCAAAACGAAAACCCTACATCACTGAAATTTCTAACTTCTATCCTTCCGTCTTAAACTAAATCAAAGGTTACCGAAAGGCAATAAAAAAGGTAGAGCTATCCCTGTAACAGGCCATGGAGGCCCATAAGGTTGTGAGACGTCAAGGCTCTCACACTTTCTTGATAATCCGCTCAAAGATGGCGGTAAGGTTGCCAGCCTTATGCGCCGGCCGCCGTTTACCCCCCCAGGAAGATTCCTGGTACTCATGTACTCCAGCCACAGTGCGGCTGGAAGAATTAGGT